TCTCCAGGGCCCAAAACACCCTCAGACCCCAGAGGGTTAAAGGAGGATATGATAGGGGAGTTTTCTGTGTGGGCAGATTCCATTTGTGTATGTTTTTTTCCCCTTGTACTGTATGACTAGCCTTTGCACTAAAGCAGATAGTAGTCTTTTAGAAAATAAACAACTGAAAGAAATCGACAGCTGCAGACAGGCAACTGCTTGTCTTGTCAGTCTTGTTAGTCTGCAGGCACGGCGCCAGAATTTTTTCTCTACCGGTGCTAAGCGGGGGCTAGACCAATATGTGGGGGTGCTAAGAAAATAAATGATATTAATGACGTCAGAGTTACTTCATAAAGAAATGGGGCTAAACCGGGGCTATTAAAAATTCTGACGGGGCTATAGCCCCCCCTAGCCCCGGTGTAGCGCCGTCACCGTTAGTCTGATGCACACGCTGTGGTTGACCCCGGTACTAGTCTATGCAGGAAACTGAGGTTTATGTGTCGACGTGATCTCACGTCACTTTCACAACACTGTCTAGCACTCGCAGCTTGAAGGTATATTTAGCATATTTTAAAATGCAATCAGTACAGTAATGAATCACTTTAGCAATCAAAGAAAACCAGAATAATTGTCGCAATAATCCATCTTATGCTTGTTTCGTTCTGATCTGTTTCAGCTGTCTGTGAGGTACTATGGAGAGAAAACTGAGTCGCTCGGGGACGCCGTGCTGCATCTAACGGCTGTCGGTACGTCTCCATCATGTTTTCATTTTGAGACATAGGCTACGCCTGTGTTTATAATTAATGCTTATATATAAATAGTATCTGTGCTGTAACTATAAACAGCCTCATGCTGGTGGGACTGAAGGAACAGGCAAGCCTCATGTTGTCTCGGTTCATTTGCAGAGATATCTCTGGACGTAGATGCTGACCGAGATGGCATTGTTGAGAAAAACAATCCAAACAAGGTGAGCTTTGTTTGCTTGTTGTCTTGCGACCCTTTCTATATCATCATTATTGGGGAGATTTGTTTTTGGCTCATTGCTACAGGCCTGGAGATGGTGGAACACAAAAGAAGATATTTAGAAAAATGTCGTAGCATTTTCTTTTTTGTCAGTTCAATCAAAGTCAATAGGGTCTGGAGGCCCATGAATAAACAGAATAAACAATTGTCTTTTTTTCTTGTATGTCAGTAATATCTCACAGTTGAGGTTTTTTCAGAATTGAGAGATATAAACTCAGAATTCCGAGACGAAACATCAGAACTGTGAGATATAAACTCGCAATTGCAATACAAAAAAGAAATA